AGGCTGCGGTCATCCCTGTCACTTTTGCACCTTTTCCGGCCACATTCTTCCCTTCTTCTTAAGACTCTGTTAATATACTTTGATACTGCGTTCTGTGAGCATCCAGCTTCTTTTGCAATTGCCTTTTGAGACTTTTCCTCCTTATGGAGGGTGTCAATGATGGTCGTCTGCACAACCGTCAAGTCAGCAGTCTTCCCCATTATTCTGAAGCCTACTAAGCCAGACTGAGACAATTTCAAGGCTGAGGAAACCTTTGCAGGTGTTTTGCATTAATTACCTGACTAGATTGGGACACAGGGAGCCTACAATGTTGAACTTTGTCATGATATTCTAATTTTGTGAAATACTGGATTTGGGTTTTTTTTTTTTGTCTTTAATCCATAATCATCAAAATTGAAACAAATAAAGGCTTGAAATATTTCACTTTGTGTGCAGTGAACTAATATAACATACAAGTTTCACTTTTTGAAACAAATTATTGAAATAAATGGATTTTCCCTCGATATTCTAATTTTTTGGCACATACCTGTATAATGGGAAAAAAGAAACCCCCACATTTGTATCCAGCAGATGTTTGGCTGAGATGTTTGACTTTATAATTTAATTGATTAACTGTCTTGTTGGTAAATGTAGTATTCGTGTTGTAGCTTTGTGAGTGAGGGGAAGAGATTATGAAAGTCTATGGGAATTGCAATTGTGTAACATCCTGACTGCTCTGTCAGCAGTGGACAGCAGGTGTAGGGTGTGTGTTCGAATGTGTGTGTCTCTGTGTGGCTTGATTACCCGACGTGAAAAAAACTCCGTCTTTGCCGCTGACCCAGCAAACACACTGACAGACACACCTGCAGAGATGTGTCAGTGACCTGGAAATAATCACGACTGTTGAACGGAAGTTTCCGTTCTGATGAACATGTACTTCAGGGAGAAGTTACTCTCTCTGCGCACTATTAAAATGAGCAGGGTTGTAAGTCAGTCTTTGCCTTGGATCAGTAATGGACACACGTATACAGATGCTGCAATATGCAAATAATGAATTTAGGGAGCAGTTTTCTTTTGTTAGAAGCTGACACATGTTCAGTATTTTGATCAAAATGACTGGAAACAAGATGTTGACCTGCTTTTTTTTTTAATGCAGATAATTATTATTTACTGGAAACGTCATGCAGTGGGATAATCAAAGATGAATGCTTTTACTTTAAAAATGTGATTTGACATACTGTTGTGATATACAGTATGTCACTCTGCTAAGTGGGCATCACCCTGTTGATAGTCGTGTGTGTGTGTGTGTATAACCTCATTTCTCTCTCTCCCTCAGGGGCTTTTTGCCCAGAGGATCTGGCATTGGCACCCATCTTCCTCTCATCCTCCAGCTGGTTAACAGTAAGGCAAGTTGCTGGGAAAGAGGTCCCTTAAATCCAATGAATAATCGAGTGCCTAAAGCTAAAATCAGCAGTCTGATCTAACAGAAAACTAATAAACCATCATAAACAATTCATCTTTTTTTGATGTTCAAATGATAACAAAATGTGAGAAAGTGTGACAAAAAGTTAATGTTTCAGTCATACTAGAGGGTGATCTTCGGCATAACTTACTGTACATACTGTAGCTTATTACATGTTTTATGCCACTAGTTATTTCCGAAATGTCCCTTTAGCCATTTTACACTTTCTGTCTCCTGCTTTATCATAGTTGTCTTGTCTAAATGTCTAACCATGCTGAGTACGCTGTGCAAGTTTGTAGACTTTGAGGAGGTCCATCAGAAGATCGAAGCAGAGACTGACGGTCTCACTGGATCCAACAAGAGCATCTCCCCCATCCCCATCAAACTCTGTGTCTACTCCCCTAATGGTAACACACATACACTTACAGTATATATATATATAAACTCAACGGGTTTTCAGCCTCTGTCTAACTGATTCCTTTACTTACTTTCTTCTAACCCATCACCGCGACTCAGTGCTGAATCTGACTCTGATCGATCTGCCGGGGATGACCAAAGTGGCCATGGGAGACCAGCCTCCAGACATTGAGTAACCAGATCAGAGACATATGCTGCTGCAGTTCATCACCAGGAGAGCTGTCTGATCCTGGCCGCCACCCCGGCCAACTCGGACGCCCTCAAGATTGCCAAGGTGGTGGACCCTCAGGGTATGGGAAACTGCATGTGCTTCTGTGTGTGAGACCTTGAGAAAAGGGTTTGTTTTTAGGATCATGTTCATCTTTATGTTGTTTTGTTACCCTTTCTCTTGATATTTCTCTAAATGTAACCGGGCTACAACTAACAACTATTTTAATGTTGATAATTTATAATATATAATGTAAAAAACATGCAGAAATCTAAATTTCGCATAATGAAAATAAAAACATTTATTTAAACAATGCTTCTACAATGTTTCTATGCAGTGCATTAATAAACAGAAAACATTAAATACATTATTTGTGCAAGAATAGAGCTTTTTATGAAGTGCACAATAGGTCCTTACACTGCTAACCATCCATCCATCTTTGCCCACTTTATCCAAGACCGGGTCGCGGGGGCAGTAGTCCAAGCAGAGCCTCCCAGACTTCCCTCTCCCCACACACCTCCTCTAACTCCTCAGGAGGAACCCCAAGGTGTTCCCAGGCCAGCCAGAAGACATAGTCTCTCCAACGTGTCCTGGGTCTGCCCCGAGGCCTTCTCCCGGAGGGACACTGTTACACTGTTAACAAAAACACTAAAATGTTTATGATTTGAAATAACTTCAATGTTCATAAAACATACCATGTAAAGGCCAGTACAACCATGACTGCTACTGCTGACTGTTAAAAGTAACTTTGAGTATGCTCACACCATCCTCAGCACATTTACGCTTAGCCTATATACTGTACTCTCTAGCTGTTCTTTTGTTAGTTTCCCCACTCTTGCTTTAATTTCTTACCCTGCTCCCTGACCTACTGTTTAGTTTAGCATTTTGGAATTCTTTGTTTCTCCCTGTCAGGATGAGCCTATGTGTTTTTCCCCTTTAGTCTCGTTCTCTACTATTTAATAAGGCCTACTTGAACCTTTGCTTGCCTCGTGTGTCTGCACATTGGGTCCTACCTAGCCCTTAACCATAACACAGTGGAAGGGTATTGAAATTGAACTGCTTAGATAGCATCATTAAATTATCTTTGTAATTTCCTATTCCATGTGTGAATACTAGAACATCAATGTTATCAACAACCCCTTGTTTTTTTAGGCCTGCGGACCATCGGTGTGATGACAAAACTGGACCGGATGGATGAGGGGACAGATGCACAAGACATCCTGGAAAACAAGCTGCTGCCACTCCGCAGAGGTGAGATCACACGTGTATTTTAAACGCTATAGTATATGGTTTTGTGAACATGCCCACTGCTGCCAAATATCTTTATCACTAACCCACATGTTAACAGACTGTAGCCCAGATATTTTATCAGACACACACACAGCACAGAACTGTCAGTAACATATTATTCATTGTCGCTCTGTAATACTACACATTGGCTTTGTAATTTAACAATTATATTAAACTGATTCTCAGTTAAATAATTGTGTTTACTTCTACATCAAACGAGCAACTTCTTAACAACAGTTCCTCTTAACACCACACAGCTGGTCAAGAAGGCCCAACGGCTGCTGTACTTCCTGAGGAGGCTGAGGAGGTTTAGCATGTCGCCTAGGATCTTTTGCAACTTCTACAGCTACATCATTGAGAGCATCTTGACCAGCTGCATCACTGTCTGGTATGGCAGCACTACTGCTATGGACCGCAAGCGCCTGCAGAGAGTGGTAAAGACTGTGGAGAAGATCACC